AGTGAAACACATTGGACTGTGATACATGTAGATCATGGTAGACCGTGGTTAACCACTGTACTGTCCAATATTATTGTAAATCAACTTGTGGTCAGCCATGATTTTAACCAAAACTGACCCTGGTTAAACATGGTTAACCATCGTTTCTCAATCAAACAAATTAATGTATTTATAAGCCTTAACTGGAAAACAGTTGGTGAAGTCAAGAGATTATAAAAACAGTTTCTATTCTTTAGGTAGATTTGTTACTAATAATATCATCAGAAAGGTGACTATTAAGTTTTAGTATAATTTCAGAGCTGAACAAAGAGTTTCCAGCAATCTGATTGGTCGAGTGGTTCCTTATATGACGCTATATAAACCGCTCCGCGCAGTTTATATAAAATGTTAAACTAAAAATGTTACCAAAATGTTATGATTTTAGAAATTTCTCTGTTGTTCAGCTCTGAAATTGTACTAAAACAATTATTCGCCTCAGGTTCGGTGAATATTGTTGAATAATTCCCTTGACTTTGTCTCGGGGATTATTCGACGATATTCACCATGCCTTCGGCAAATAATTGTTAATTATAATACTGTTTTGTATGATTTTCAAACAAGTTTAACTGTTTCCTTCAGTGTTTAACCTTTTAACCATACATCATGTAGTTTACATGACATACGTAACAAAATATTTTCATTAACCTAAAAACTCAAGGTAATTACTTGCTATATAATCTTCTGTTTTAATTTTTTCTTTCTTTTCATAGCTCCTTTCAACTAATTCTTCAGTCTTTTTATCTGGTTCACTTCAGGATTAACTTTTTTTTCTTGTTTAACTTGATATACATAAATAACTTAACTCCTATCAATTATTAGAATTGCTGGTAAGTGTTGAATATCTTTGCATTTAATATGAGTAAACTGTTAGTTGCAAGTACACATGTTAATCAGAAAAGGTAATGTTTACAGCTTTGTTAACCCATAATATTATTGAAATTTGATAACATGTTTCATACATATCTATAGCTGCAATAAACTGCAACAGTTAAGTTTAAGTTGGCTTGATTAACATGAGCAATAAGTCATGTTTTAAAAGAGACAGGTTCCTTGTATTATGTAATTTGCTTTGTAATTGTAAAATGCTTTTATTTGTCGAACACAATAATTGTGTTTAAATTTTCATCTTATAGACTGAGGTTTTGCACAGCAGCCATGTTGGATGGCACTGGAACAATAGATTATTTTACCCATGGGAAAAAAAATTTCTTTCTTATGCAAAATATTTTCATTGTTCCTGCCATCCAACATGGCTGCTGTGCAAAACCTCTATAATTTGTTTGGTGGTCCATTTGTTTGTTGGTGCATTTGTTTTTTTTTTTTTGGTTGTTCCTCTAGTCAACTGACCAGAAAATAATGAAGAGAAGCAGCATTCATTAGTCCTTACACCCACCTGTTTGTCCACTCATTTGTTCACTCATTTATCTTTGTTCTCATTATTATTTTATTGGTAAACTCCATGAGCTATTCTGTATGTCTGTTGTCAGCTGAAATTAAACACAGCTAGATCAAATGAACAATTCCTATTTTAAGCATCTGATTTTTAAATATGACGTAGCTTTGTAAATAGTATTTTTTGGAAGGTTTGTAACATAACTTACGTAATTTTATTTTATGAATTAATACATATTTTAATATTATTATCATCATTATTATTATTATTATAATCGCAGCGAAATCAACAGAATGCTACATTCTAATCAAGCAGCACAGGGCGAAAACCGTAACCTGTGAGCCTGGAGTAAAAAATAAATGTATATTAACTAATCCTAAAAAGCTTTTCCGTTGTGTCTACGGTCCTCCTTCTAACAGGAACTCAAACTGCCTCCTTGAAAGTCTGGGCAATATTCAGCATGCACAAGAGCACTGCCCTCTGCATCTTTTGCAGTATGTCTGTGCTTCTGCCTCCCACCAACTTGCGCATCAGGACATCCAGCTCCCGTTACCACCCCCCGAGGGCATCCATTATGATGTTATATTGCTTCACCTCATAGCTGGGAACTGCTGCCTTAGTTCCCAGCGAAGGGGTCCATACTTTAGTGTCTTCTCTTCATCCTTTCTTGTCTGATTGTTAACCCACAGGCAGCTCATTTCCAGTGTCACAACTCTCTTGCACATAATTATGATTTACAATGCGTGCATCCACCCTATTACATCTGACCTCTTGTTGATCAGCGTATATAGAGACATCCCAATAAGCTTTAACATTCTCTGACTCATACATCGGCTTGGGCTTGTCGGGTGAGTACCAGGGTGGTATCTCATCTATAACTCCCTCATCATACAACAGTTTGTAAAACAGTACCTTCAGTGCTGCGTTGTGTCTAGAGAGATACTTGCTCTGGGCCAGCGCACTACATCCTGACAAGATATGAGCCATGCTCTCTGGAGCCTTACCGCATAATCTGCACCTCACCTCGGCTTCCCCGCTTATGTGGTTCTTCTGACTCGTGTATAATCGCGTTGGCAAGAGCTGCACATAGAGCTTCACTCGCTTATTATCATCATCACTATCATTAGGAGGTTTGGGGATATTCAGGGTACTTTTTTGTGACCACAAAATAATCTTTATCAGTGGCAATGTTATGTTGAATTCCAAGCACCTGGAATATTTTGCATTACTGGCCAGTGCTTTATTACTACAAAATAAAAGACAAAGACCAAGGGCAAACAATTCTTACAAACTTGTAAATGTTGCAATGCAATTCTTGATGCTAGTATTAATGGTGGAAGCTAGGCTTTCTTTCAGTGAGAATGTGTAATCATTGTGATATTGTAATGTTCAGCTTTCATTTTTTGTTAAGGTTTTTAAACTTCTTAAACTAGATTATGCTGTGACTGGCTGAATTTGCTTTTTTCATTTGGTTTTTTAGGTAATGGGACATGAATTTCTTAGTAATGAGGAGTTTAAAACATGGGAGGTATGGGTAGACTCTCCAGCTTCAACCTTACCTCCACAGGAAGTTAAAGTGTTCAGCCCAGACTATGTGACTGTGGACCGAGATACAGCTGTCAAAGATTTCAGGAAGCGTATCAAGCACTATGAGGATGCATATGAACCACTTTCATTTGAAAAAGAGGGGTGAGTTTAAACTTTTCATGCTACAACTTATAAAAAAAAAAAAACAACAACAACAACCCAACAACAACAACCTTTTGATATGATTTGTTAACCTTCTGCTCCCCAGCATCCGTACACATATTCTCCATACTGTTCTCTATACATTTCCTAAGGTGCTGCAAGGAGAATTTGAGTAACACTCAAGAGCTTCTTCAGTAAATGATCATTTCCTTTATTCTTGTGACCTTAATGTGTGATTCAGAGGGGAAATAATGCTGGGAGAAATGAGATGCTATAAATAATAATGGATCAGAGTTGAATTACCCCTGGCTGATCTTTCTTTCATCCCTACTTACTCTACTCACCTCTCTTTCAATTTGACTTCCTCTCACCTTGGTTCTTTCTCCTTTCTCTCCTGGTCATTCCTACATGTACATGCACTGTCTATCATTTATACTTCCATCAGCATTCTTCCCTTCTTTTCCATCCACCATACATTCTTACATTTACATTTTACATTTTGACATTTATATAGCGCAGACTTCTCTGTGGATATATTCAGTCGCGCTTAACAGTATCGTAAGGTTGAGATAGGACGTCAGCATTTTTATTCTTGTAAGNCGGTGTACAGAGAGTTTGTCACATACGGAGGTCTCTAGATCGTTTTGAAGTAATTTGAAGTTTTTAAGAATAATGGATTTAACTGAGTGGTTGTGAGGGTGAAACGTGAGAGTGAATGGAATGCGGTCGGAATTTTCCTTCTGTGACGTTTGTAGTGCTGACTGTCGATCAATAAGTTGGGCGCGGTGGTGACCCGCTTGAACGACAGAAACAGGGTAACCACGTTTTTCGAAAAACTGGCCCATTGACTCTGATTTGTGGGTAAAATCAGAGTCATCACTACATAAACGACGAAGTCTTAGAAACTGAGAAAAGGGGATGGAATTCTTAACATGAGAAGGATGCGAAGATGAATACAACAAGTAACTATGTGAGTCTGTGGGTTTGTAATACACACTAGTGGATAAACTGTTGCCTTCAATTGAAACTTTGATATCTAAATAGGATAAGTATCTCGAAATTAAACATTGATCGGATTTGGATCTAATCTAGTTTTTGTATCGCCTATGAAAAATTCAACCCGTTCCTATTTAAGATGCGAAAGGTATAATCAGTCTTACCATATCCTCTAATCTTCTTCTGTCGTTGAATTAGTTGATTCAAGAGAATATATGCTCTTGGTTGAATGGAAAAGTGCGTGCTCAACGATCTAATCGCATCGCATTTAAGAGAGGCTGCTCTTTGGATCGTGTAATCTGATCGTCCGGCGAGATTAGTCCTGAGAAGGACTCTTTTCGTTCCTAAAACAGTGACAAAAGTTTTTTTTTCGTTGTTTACGTGAATTTTAGGTTTGGACAAGTCAGTTAAAAAGGGCGGTGGACACAGCTCAGTATCTCAAAGGTGTGACGACTGAGAGATGGAAGGCACTCAACGAAATGGATCATGTAAGCTGTTCTTTGTAGCTGTGGGTGAAATTAGAAGTGATATTCATTTTTTGTGGTTCTTTCTTCATTGGTTGCCTGCCTTTAAATATTCGTCTCTGTTTACGCGAAGGGCCTTGCGAGGTTATCGACCGCAATGGGATTATTGTGTCATATTCTCCAGACCGAGTCTTTGTAAAGGTTATTTAAAGATATGTTAGATATGTTCAACCGCCTCCCGGTTAGCTCAATTGGTAGAGCGCCGGACTGTTGTGCGGGAGGTTGTGAGTTCAAATGCGGCCGGACCAACACTCAGGGTCTTTAATTAACTGAGAAGAAAGTGTTGCCTTTGTAATAATATCTGCAAATGGTTAGACTTTCTAGTCTTCTCGGATAGGGACGATAAATGGAGGTCCCGTCTCCTGCAGGGTTGTGGTAGGAGAAGTTAATTTCCCACACACGAGATTACTGTGTGATGGATGTCCTCCCCGGGGTGGGATGGGTGGGTAATAAAGGGGTTAGGTGTCAATTGGAACGAAAGTTCTGTTCCTTTCTCCTGCCATTCCTGTGGCGAATAAATTAAACTAAACTAAACTAAACTAAGATAGTCACACTCCTAGCCGATCCATCAATCTGACCGGTTATTTTTGTGGTAGGTTCTGGACATATATCAGACAAGTTTTCGTGCTTGTTTTGAATTGTTCTGTCGTTTCGTTTTCCAGACTTTTCTTGTATGAAATAAAACGATTACCAAATAAAGGTACTTCCTAATTTTAA